ATTAGCAATTCGCTACTTATTTTCACTGATTTTAATTCGAGATCTTCTTCCATAAACGATACATTTGTAGCATTTCGGTATTGATAGCATCAACGAGGTCCTAGATTGCATTCCAGCAGGATCCTATCATGTCCCACACTTCGCATAATGAGGATGAAGTGAGCACAGAAGATGAGGAGTTTGAGCGGAGACCCGATAAGATAAAGGCACTGCTTGCAGATGGTGGGTTGAGCAGAAGTGTTTCCAATACATGCACTAATTGTTCTTCAGAGGTCCTTTCAATTTCCGACGACGAGGATGATAACGAGCCCGAACCAAAACCCTCTAATAATGACAAGAAAGGCAAACGTAAAGCTCTAGAGCAAGTGGAATGGTCAGACGATGATGAAGAGGAAAATCCTTACGAGAAATTCAAGAAGAGGAAGTCTGAGAAACGTAAGAAGCTGAATGCACAAAAGAAACGGATAAAGGAGCGAGCGAAAGATGCGAAGCAGGCGAAGGAGAAGGGGGGTTCGTCCAAAACAAATGAAAGGGCATGGGGCGACGATTCAGATTACGAAATGGACGATGAAATCCCCGAATATTTACAAATCAGGCGGAAGGAATTCGATACGAATTTAGAAGAAATGAAGAGCGCCGGCCTTCAACTTCCACCTGACTATTCCGATATATACTTCTCGGATGATCAGAGATTGGCAGAGCTTGAAGAACGACCGGATTTTCCTAGTACTGTGGAGCCATCAAGACCCTATGCAGATATCAATATGGAGTTATCCAATGGTGTCATACCAGCATCTATTGCACAGTATCTTCGAGACTATCAAGTTGATGGAGTCAAATTTCTCCATGAAAAGTTTGTCTATCAGAAAGGAGGTATCTTAGGGGACGACATGGGGTTGGGGAAAACTGTACAAGTGGCTGCTTTTCTGACTGCTGCGTTTGGCAAGACAGGAGATGAGCGAGATGGAAAACGTATGCGAAAAGTGAAGAACGCCGACGAAAAACGATGGTATCCTCGAGTACTTATTGTCTGTCCTGGTTCCTTGATTCAGAACTGGAAGAATGAGTTGATGAGATGGGGATGGTGGAATGTTGAAAAGTTTCATGGAGGCGTGAAGGAGAAAGAGTTCGTACTTCGGAGTGCACAATCTGGTCGGGTCGAAATTGTCATTACCACATATGCAACATACAAAAATCATAAGGATGCCCTGAATACCATTTCTTGGGATTGTGTTGTGGCTGATGAATGTCATCAACTCAAGGAGCGGACGTCTCTTACGACGCAAGCAATGAATGAAATAAATGCCCTGTGTCGCATTGGACTTACAGGGACTGCTATACAAAACAAGTACGAAGAACTTTGGACGCTACTCAACTGGTGCTCGCCTGGGAAAGTTGGTCCGTTGGCTACTTGGGTTTCAACCATCTCAGAACCTCTACGGATTGGACAAAGTCACGATTCCACTAATCAACAGGTAAAAAGGGCTAGGGAGACTGCGAAGAGGTTGGTTAATAACCTCATGCCTCATTTCTTTTTACGGAGGATGAAGACTTTGATTGCTCATCAACTCCCGAGGAAGACAGATCGATTGTTACCATGTCCGCTTACTGATCTTCAACGAGAAGCATACGAAAGGTTTCTTGAAAGTGATGTCGTACAGTTTGTCAGAAACCATAGCGAGCCATGTGATTGTGGCAATGGTAAAAATTTAACGCGTGGTGGCTGTTGTTATTCTAAAATACCTGGTACCATGACGAAATGGCAGGCTATGGTATTTCCTATCATGACCACACTTCAAAAGTTATCGAACCACTTGGCTCTTCTCTTGCCTAATGATGGAGATCCTAGGGAGAAGCAAGAACGAGATCTAGAATTCCTTCAATTGATGTTACCAGATAGATGGGAGGAACTATACAAAGCTCGAGATTCAATTGCAAATCTGTCGAACCCCGAGTTTTGTGGGAAGTGGAAAGTGTTGAAGAAGTTATTGAAACATTGGCACGAGGAAGGAGACAAGGTTCTGATATTTTCTCATAGTGTTAAGCTATTGAGAATGCTTCAACATTTGTTCCAGAGTACTAGCTATAATGTTAGCTTCCTCAGTGGCGAAATGAAGTATGAAGATCGTCAGGATACGGTAGATGATTTCAATTCTGATCCCAATCAATTTATCTTCTTGATATCAACCAAGGCTGGAGGTACGTTTACTTTTGTCACTTCATGATATTCTACGTTGCATATCTTTGTAGATTTTTGTTCCCCAAATTTGGTCCTTTGTAATACTGACTATGTCTATCTAATAGGCGTTGGCTTGAATATCACCAGTGCTAATAAAGTAAGTCTCATCTATCAACACACATCTCAGCGATGACTAATCTTACAGGTTGTTATCTTTGATCCCAACTGGAACCCCAGTTATGATCTGCAAGCCCAAGATCGAGCATACAGAATAGGTCAGCTCCGAGATGTTGATTCATTTCGACTTGTTTCTGCTGGGACCATAGAAGAAGTCGTTTATGCTCGCCAAATATACAAGCAACAGCAAGCTAACATCGGATACAATGCTTCGATGGAGCGTCGATATTTTAAGGGTGTACAGAATGCTGCTGGCCAAAAAGGAGAGATCTTCGGGTTAGATAATCTATTATCTTTTCACGCGGATGAAATCCTATTGCGAGATATCGTCAATAAAACTAACGTCGCAGAGACGAGAGCAGGAGTCGCCATGGCTAGTTTTGATGTGCAGGCAGCACTTGACGATGATGATAATCCTCTTCGCGCAGATGATGATGATCCTAATGGCGCCATGAGCCAACTTGCTGCTCTGATAACCAAAAATGAACAAGATATCAAGCGCATGAAGAAACCCACTCCAAAATCTGATCCCATAGCCGCAATCCTAGCATCAGCGGGCGTGGAATACACACACGAAAACTCAGAAGTAGTCGGCTCGTCAAAAGTAGAAGAAAGACTAAGTCGTCGTGCAGAGGAAACAGGTGGTGAGATTGGATATGGGGAAGAATTACTATTTGGACCCATGTCACAACAAGCGGAAAATGGCAACATACGTTATGAATTCCATCCCCCGAAGGAGATTATGAAGAGACAGTTCTGTACGATGGCGAAAATGTTTGGGTTTTCTAGTGCGACGGAATTTGCTTTTGTGGTGGAGGGATGGACGCAGAAACAGAGGACGGATTGTTTGGAGAGATTCTATTTGAAGAGGAGAGAGAGGTTGGAGGAGTTGGATAAGCAGAAAGCGGAGGAGGAGATTGTGGAGAGAATGAAGAGGGAGAGAGATCAGGCAAAAGTTGAGGTGGAGGGAGAGACGGAAAGTGATAATGATGAGTTGTGATGATACCCTTATTTGAAGTTTAGAGCAAAAGAATGGGCGTTGAATTTTCTAGGGCTCAAGTCTTGAGATAATATACCTTCATTAATTGAATGCGTGGGCTTGTAATCTTTAGGTTAGATTTGACGATCTTATCGCATGGATAATAAACACACGTCATATAACTTGCATCTCAATCTCGAAAGAAAAGAAAGCTGCTCCAACAATGAACAATCTATTCGAGCTAGTTAGTTCAGTTTGCACACCAGCGAGATAAGCGCCAAATAGTTTTTTGATTTGAAGGTCTCTGCAACGTCCCATGATAACAGTCATTGTTCCACAAGGCGTTGCACAAGCGGAGAATATGAGTGGTTGACGGGTACGCACATATGCGTGGAGGAGTGTCAAGTTTCGAGGAAAGGGGATTGGTAAGATTGGCTGGGTGAGTGGTGGGGAGATTCGTGGATAGGTTTTTGGAGGGGATGATTATTTAGAGGAGGAGAATGAAGTTTGAGAGGTAGGAAAATGAAAAGAAGGAAAGAAGGAAGCCGAGAAGTGAGGCGAGTTGAAATCGATTCCAGGAAAATGAGGGGCTCGAATGAGGAACTGAGACTTAGTAGATGGAGATTTGAAGAATCGAATTGAAAAGAAAAAAGAAAGAAGAAGGTATTCGGGTAGCTGCGAGGGTCCGCGGTGCTTTCGAAAGAAGGAGATTAGATTGGACAATCAAGAAGAAACGTGGAAAGAAGGATCTGCGAGGTGGTATTGAAGAGGAAAGTCAGGGTGTAGCGGCTAGTTGGAATCTCCAATGAATTAAGGGTCCAGGGATATGATATGAGAACCGGATATGCGCAGGTACGAGGAATGATAGGATTCGAAGATTTGTTGAGGTACCTGGGTATGCATTGATCAAGAGAATGCTTTTGTGGTTGGTGTGCTGTCGATACATATTTGAATTTTGGTAGATTCATATGGATGGGTGAGTAGCTTGCCGTGGATTTGGTGATGGGTATTTCTGGATAGTAGTGATGGTAATGGAGAATCACATATATGATGGATCGCACCTCTGATGGAGAAGAAAAAGAAACTTGAGTGGTGTGGATTCGGTTAATGGTTGGATTACTATTGGTGATTGGTTTGGTTGATAGGTAAGAGGGCAGCTCATCTTCAAGGAAATATGGAGTTGAAGTGCCGATTATGGACAGATACACTTTCTCTAGTTGTTGGTCCTTACTGCATGGAATGAGATGTGCCATCTCTTGTTCCTTTCTTTTTTTTTGGACTGGAAGTATTTGTGTTTTTTTACTGACGTTCCGGACGATGCGGATAGACAAAGAGGCAAATGTGCTCGATGAATCGCGATCTGATCTACGCGACAATTTAGATTTTCATAGACGGTACGATCCTGCTTTCCAATAGCCCGACCTGCAACCAGACAACCAGAAGCTTTCAGATTCTGAATTCTTGGATGATTCAAATGACATGGAACACTGAAATTTTTGACCATTGTACTGCTTTTAGCCATTGAGAGTTTGCGTTCAGTCTTTCAGTCTGGACGAACGCCCTGATACTGTACGTTGCGAGCTACACATAGCGTACACGGAGGAGTTTACTAGTAGCCATAATCCATATGCCCATTCATCACTTGATCTGTGACCACTTCAAGCAATGGCAGATCTACACTTTTGCTTCCATGATTTTGACAGGAGACACGAGCTTGAGGTTCGAGTTCAAGGGGATATGGATTCCGGGGCTACACGAGCAGATATTGGAGAATTGAGGGCGGAAGTTAGGGGGGTACGGGCAGAATTGCGACAGCAAGAGCGGAGAATTATGGAACTAGGGAATGAAATTGGGGGGATGAGTGGAGAAATGAGGGACGTAAGGGAAGAGCTGAGGATGACGAGGAGAGAGCTCCGGGGGACTAGGGCAGAAATGTTGAGGCTGAGAAATGAAGGCACGCAATATAGGGGAGACTTAAGAGGATTAAGACAGGAAATTTTGGGTTTGGAAGGGGAGATTGTGGGGTTGAGGGGTGAAATGAGGAATGTGATCAGAGGGGTGAGAGAGATGAGGGAAGAGTTTTTAGATTTTATGGATGAAGTTGAGAGAGGCCAGAGAGAAAGGCTGAGAGAAGCTACCATAGCTTATGAAAGATTAAGAAGAGAGGTTATGGAAGAACTGGTTATGAGGGATGCGAACAACGTTCAAGTGGAGCTACGGTTAATGGAGGGATTGGCGAGGCGCGATGCGGAAAGCATTCGAATGGAAGTACGAATTATGGAAGGATTGGCGAGGAGGGATGATTACAATATTGAGATGGAGCGGCGGCTGATGGGAGAAGTTCAAGATCTTAAAACGAGGAACGCAGAAAGATCAGAGAGGGAAGATGAGTTGACAAATGATGTGGATGATCTAAGAAATAGAAATATGGAGAATGAACGGGTATTGGGAGGTGAGATTGAAAGTTTGGGCAATAGGATGGACGCTTTGGCGCTGGAAAATGGGGGGTTGATGGAAAGGGTAACGTGGTTGGAGATGCCAGGACCTGAAATTGAGGAAGACGTCGAGCCAGTGGATGATCAGATAGTCAATAATTTGGCTGAAGAACGGCACGATAAAGGAAGCGGAAAGAAATGTGAGAGGGGAGAATGCCAGTGGCCAAGATTCTATACCGGAAGGAAGAAACATAGTATTAGGAAAGAGCTAGCTTTAAGGATCATGAAGTATACAGTTACGTGAGCATGGATTCGAACATAATTTGTGACTAAATGGGATGGGAAGACTTTCACAAGATCCTCTGGGTGCTATCCAAGGGATATTCTCGAAGAATAATCGACATTCAAGCCCGCTCTACGTCGTATAGTTGACCATGAAACACAGGACTTGCAGTCCATTAATGAGACAACTCTTGATCTTTAATCTTCTGTTGTATTAGATATGCAAGGCCTTTCAAACTTTTCAGAGCTCTCGATTGATCAAGAGTCCTTGACTGTTCAAGAGTTTTCAGCCATTTCAAGATATCTAGTTTCTCTCACTTCAAAACACGCTTGCAAGATTATCCTCAAAAAGACAATCCCCAAAATCAAGTAGGAAGATATCCAAACAACTCACCAATATCTTCAGGCACGCTTTCAATAGTACCCTTGGTAATCCCCACCGCTACCGGCCATTGCGACGAGGAGCCCAAATTTCTATCATGTCACTTCTCATTATCTACACCCGCTCGGGTATTCAATATTCAAGATTCTTTGTACTTTCCAGGCCATCTCATACTCGGTTAATCATTCAACCAATGCGGTGGCCATTGCCAAAAATGATTGAGTAAAGAATTATCGAGATATCGACGTCCTAATTTGGATCTTTCGCGAGACGAGCTGCATTTATGTTTGAGGTACTGGTAGTAAGTTTCATTGGCTATTCATACGAATCTTTGAAGCAGCTCCCGCTATGCAACAATAAGAGAAAATGTTTGGTCGGACCGACTATAATGCCATGGTATGGGGAGTATGATAGAGCAATTGCTTGCATCGCGGCTTACCAACGAGTAGAAGAGAAAAGAGGGGACAGAATCAAAATGGATCTGGTTCTGAAGAGATATCTATGAATCCAGGAATCGCCGAGTACCAAAATATGCCGTGGAAATATCATAAATGACCATTGCCATGCAATCGTTGGATTGGCGCCACTGGAACAAAGCTAAGACAAACCAATTCTGGGTATATTCTTGTGTAGACTTCAAAGGACTTTACTTATGAAAACTGACAACACAGAAATGGGGAATGGTCTTGTAGAAATCGTACCATCACTACGAAACGATTTTATGTACGAGCAGCAAAGAAGACAATATCCTTGTGTGACCACAACACAACCTCCAAGTCAATGAAGTGAAGCAAGGAGACGAATAGCTATAACGATTTCGGACCGATGATATATGCGCCAAGTATGTCAAGTTTTAGTTCGCATGAGAAATGCCCTTCTCGGCGTCAGCCATGTGCGGCGGGGTTTTTTACATTCAGTACATAATCGTTGTGTGTATTGGATAGGTTTTGGTTAGGATTCCAAGGAAAAACTCGCCACCCGTTCCGAACACAGCATGCATGTGATATATGGAATGAAGGTACGACTGAGAACTTATGTACCTCTCTCATGATTTCTGCACCATTTTCCAATTGAAGCATGTAAGATATCGTTGTCGCCTTCACAAATGAACATTGGCTACACGTGGTTGAATTTAGGTTATCTTAGCGCCGTTTGTGCCGAGGACAAGCTCTCCTCTTGTTAGAAAATCCTCCACATTCCTATAAAATTGGCCACGACACCTCGATTCACTTCAAATTCTTACAGCATCTCATACAATCATGTTCACCTGACGGACCGAATACTGACAGCTAAGAATGTCAATTCCACCGTTCAATATGGCCCAGCAATTGTGATGAAGATGATCCAAGTTGTTGGGATGAGATCCATTCATCCCATTTGATATCCACTTGAAATATCATCAAGTCCAAGAGACGATTTCAATGAACGAAGTCACACGACAGAAACAGCTCAACCGAAAATGGGTTCTCGAGACTCGAGCTGCATGCAAAATTTGATACGATTCACTGTAATTGGACGTTGGGTGTTACCCCAGAAAGTCGTTGGATACTGCCCGATAAACAGCCTCCCTTCCCCTCAATTGGTTGTGAAGGGTGTCGATGCTTTCAAGGGCTTCAACTTGCATTTTATGACTTCTCAATGGCTCAAGATGCCATTAGAGTTTGAAGATACTTGTAAGAAGTCTTTATTAATATGATGAACATTGTTCTTAAATACACTACACATACTGTCCTTTATTGTCACATGTAACATTGCTATTCCGTACGTAATTTGGCCAAGACTTCAAATCGCCTTAGATTTGATATTGGTATTCGTTTATGGTCTCATTAGTTTTGAGATTCATTTTGTTTTGATATTAGCTACTCATTGTGTACTAATTTCTTTTCCACCACATGTACTGTAGGTAGGTACCTAGGTACTTCCCGTATGCAAGCCTTGGAGCTTTTCTTCCATGCATCCAATCACCCATTTTACATACCGAATCAGTGAATCCCTTGCTCATCGTATGGTACTTTCCCCACGGAAATTATCCAATTAATCCCTTTTAGATGCGAAATGTATCAAATAAACTTCATACATGGAATCGTACCTGCCTACCCCTCTACATAAACAAGACCTTCTTCCTTTCACTTCACAAATTCTAGATTCTTACACAACATTAATTTCATAACACTCTTCCTCATAATTCAAATTCTCCTACGGAATCCGTTTTGGCATACACTACACTATCCTCATTCTTTAATCCATCTTTGTTGCTTAATCTCTAATAAGAATATTGATCAACAAGATGGGTATCTCAATTGTCAAGCCCGCGGGCGTTCCAGGTAGATCATGGCCAGCAGTAAGTGTCCATCTACATGGTATTCTTGAACAGAATTAACAGTTTGATTAGATCGTCATCGGTTGTTTCGTTGCATTTGGTGGTCTCCTTTTTGGTTATGATACAGGTACTATTGGTGGTATTTTGGCCATGGAGTAAGTGAACACCATTGACACTGATGTGACTTGAATATGAATTATCTTCTTACTGACACTTTGTTTTAGCTATTGGCGAAACGAATTCTCTACTGGTTACGTGAATCCGAATGATAAACATCTCGATGTTTCCCCATCCCAATCTGCGGCCGTCGTCTCCATTCTATCCGCTGGTACTTTCTTCGGCGCACTCACTGCAGCTCCTCTTGCGGACTTCTTTGGTCGACGTCTTGCTTTGTTGATATCTGCCGGTATCGTCTTTAACTTTGGTGTCATCTTACAAACAGCTTCTGCTGCATTGCCAATGTTCATTGCTGGTCGTTTCTTTGCTGGTTTTGGAGTTGGTCTCATCTCTGCTTTGAGTAAGTATTTTCAAGTCATCTTGTTACAATTCACTTCATTAGCATTCAACCTTACAGCATAAAAAGTAAAAACATAAACTAATATTGTCTCTCCTAGTTCCACTTTATCAATCCGAGACGGCGCCTAAATGGATTCGCGGTGTCATTGTTGGATGTTACCAGTTAGCTATCACAATCGGTCTTCTTCTTGCAGCTGTTGTTGATAATGCTACACAACACCGAAATGATACTGGATCATATAGAATTCCCATTGCTATTCAATTCCTTTGGGTAAGTCACTTCATCTCGAGCCTACTTGCACTTTACTAATATCTATCAAGGCTATCATCTTGGTCATCGGATTATTGTTCTTACCCGAAACCCCTCGCTACTTGATCAAGCGCGGCAATTATCGAAAGGCGGCTGAATCTCTCGCTAAGCTCCGCCGCCTACCCCAAAATGATCCATATATCCGTGAAGAATTGGCTGAGATTCAAGCAAATCATGAATATGAACTTAAACTCGGCCAAGCTTCTTATGTTGATTGTTTCAGAGGTGGTATGGCTAAGAGACTTGCAACTGGATGTCTTCTCCAAGCTCTACAACAACTTACTGGTGTTAACTTCATCTTTTGTAAGTCGACCTCTACAAACAAAATTATACATAGAACACTACTAATGATATTACATAGACTATGGTACTCAATACTTCAAGAACTCTGGAATCAGCAATGCCTTTGTCATTCAAATGATTACCAGTGCCGTCAACGTTTCATCTACCCTTCCTGGCTTATACGGTATTGAAAAATTCGGTCGTCGTCCACTTCTCTTATGGGGAGCTGTAGGAATGTGTATCAGTCAACTCCTCGTTGCCGTCTTGGGTACCGTCACCACTGGACAAAATGCCGACGGATCTGTATTTGCCAAAAATGTTGCTGGACAAAAGGCTTCCATCGCTTTCATCTGCATCTACATTTTCTTCTTTGCATCCACCTGGGGCCCTCTCGCATGGGTTGTCTGCGGGGAGATTTTCCCTCTCAAAGTCCGCGCCAAGGCTCTCTCTATGTCGGTTGCCACCAATTGGCTTCTCAACTGGGCCATTGCCTATTCCACCCCCTATCTCGTCAACTACGGAAAAGGAAACGCTAATCTCCAATCCAAGATCTTCTTCATCTGGTTTGCATGCTGCTTCGTATGTATCGCTTTTGTCTACTTCATGATTTATGAAACCAAGGGCTTGACACTGGAGCAAATCGATGAATTGTATGAGAGCAAGACTAGCGCTAAGAATTCCGTTCATTGGAGACCTAGCAAACAATTTGTTGATTTGGTCGATGGTCATGAACGTAAAAACGATATGGGTCATGAGAATGGAGGGGTTTTGGTGGATGAGAAAAATGAGGCGGAGCATAGTGCCCATTCTCCTGCTCATCATACGGGATTGGGTCATGATAATGCGGTTGCGACGGGTCATGAGTAGATCTGAGTTCTCTTGACGAGTTTTCATGATCGATTTTCTATCTGTAGTTGTGGTGGATCATGGGGGTGTTACTTGTGAATGTGGATATGGAATCGTATCGTATGGTATCGTGTCATATCATATCATCATGATACTTTCTCTTTCACTTTCAATTCCATCTCCATCTCTGTCTGTTTCAAACTCGCGGATACCTAATCATCTACCTACCTACCTAGTCAGTTTATCGATCACGGATCATGAATCTTGGGGTTTCAAGTATAGCTCATCGTGTATACAAATCCTCTCTCTCTTTCTTTTCTTTCTTTCTCGACACGAGTTTTAATAGTTGTTGTTATGGGGGAGTGT